TTGAGCATTTTTTTCTTGATCCTCCTTGTATAACTTTTTTTTCCAATCCTATCTTGTAATTGCTTACAAAGCAGTCTAACACTTTGAGACTCAATTTTTTTTATTTTGTTCCTTCAGATTTGCATGCACATTATATGTATTAGCATCTTTCATTTCAAATCAAATGAGAACTATGTATAGATATTTATATGCATACATAGTGTAGAAGATGCAGTTTGAACCGTCTTCATTATAAAAAAGAATCATTTGAAAGTAGAAGAAAACACCCTGCTGAGATCATGCCAGTTGGCAAATCATAGAGATCTTTCTACCTCAGCACAAATAAGCCAGATGACATGAATGGCCCATCTCAGTTGTAATCTTTTTATGCACTTTTCTCACGCATGCAAAGATCCAGGTACAGGTGCATGGGAGGTGCAATTAAAATATTAAAATTCATTTTCATACAATATTGTACAGCAGATGTGTAATGAATTATGAAGCATCCTCATTCAATTCCATAACATTGAATAGAATATATGAACAGAACTGTGGCTTTGGGTAAGAACATACTGTAGTAACTTCAGAAACACTGCTAATGAGAGGAGGCCATGTGGTTCGTGCTATTCCTTAGGCTTCTAGCATATTGATTTGAGAGAATTGTCTTCTGGTCTTTTCTGTTCTGTATTCACAACATGCATGGTCACTTGCTTTGTTAAGCACCTTGGGGCAACCTTGTTGTAAAAGGCACTATATAAAATAAATTGAATTTAATTAAATGAAATAGCAACATTGCAGGGCCATTTGTTCAACCCACTGTATATACCACTATATTAGTCATGAAGAAAATATTGTTCCTAAGAAGGCATCTTGGTGATGCAGATATTGAATGTAGTTCCTAAAAATAATTATACCCTTTTTCAGTAACACAAACCATTGATAATCCTGCTTTAATTATTTTGGTTTTGCAACTGATACAAAGAACCTAGTATCATGACCATAATTATTTTCACTGTTCAGTTGCAAAAAATACTGTTTATTCATAGCCACAAACACAGTGTTTTCATGTCACGTTTGGTTTGAAAATTAATCCGTATGAGCAGGTGAAAATTCACATTATGATGTAGAAAGATTTGGCCTCATGTAAGCATGTAAATATTTGAGTTTCCAGTGTGGACCCCTGGGGATACTAACTCAGTAATAGTCCTGAATCAACCCATAGAGACTCATTGCTTTCTCTCAAGATGATAAGAGCTAAACCAACTGAGGGCAGTATCAGAAAACATTCTCATAGTAGCACAAAAGACACTGAAGTCCAGTAGAAGAAAGACAGAGAACTCTCAAGTGATAGTCAGAAAACAAGGGGGCAGAGGATGCGACATTAAGGTTAAATTCAACCTAACGTCCCTGTGTGGTTTGTTCAGATTTTCTGAATGAATCGTTTCAGGTTCTGCTCCCACTACATACAGTAAATATACAAGAAGGCCATGAAGGTTTATTCACGTCGTATTCGAAAGCCGTGTTTTCCCTGCACCGAATGTTCCACCGTGCTTCCATTTTTTTGCAGTGCATTGCTCAGTGAGGTAGCTCTAAGTGGACTGGACAACAATGTTACACAGCTCAGACTCCTTGTTTTTTGGTTTGTGTGGAAGTGATGAAAGGGAAGGAATCCATGAACCTTTAACTCATTGCTCAAGAAAACAACTGAATCTTTTACATGGGAAAATAGCTATTTTATACCCGGTATCCTTTAGGAAAGATCTTTTTAAATGATCTATCTCTACAGATGCATACTTGTTCTTTAGTATTGCAGGACGTGTCAGGTCTATCTAATATAAAACAGACTAATAGTAGTATAATAATACTTGCTTCAGAGGGATCTGGTGTTGATTAAAACTGGGAATAATGACATTCAAGTGGGATTCAGGTGCAGTGGTGTTTTTGTGTAATGTGTTGTCTTTGCGCAGGTAGGTGTGCATGTCTGGATCACACAAAACTATTATAGGACATTTGTAAGAAAATATTTTTCAAACGTTGCCTTTCTGCCTGCTGTAGACATTTGTGGGGCAAAAATTGCTCTTCCAGCCTGTGAGCTATAATAATACAGATACTTGTAAGCATCAGTAAAGGAACATGTGGAAGACTACAAAGGAGTACATCCTGTGCTGCTACATTTGGTTTCTATGGTTGCATCTGGTATCTGGCTCAGTGAGAAATATTATGCTGTATTTTTTTATCTGCAAATATTTTAGATTTCCTCTAAGATTTAAAATCTTTAATAGGAACAAAACGGTAGAATAGCCTGTAAATACCAAGTGCATTTAATAGAATGTATTGTTGTTAGGTTATAAATAATGCATTTCTTATTTGATTAATGCATAAAGAATTAATCATTTCGTGGTGGTATTTGATTACATTTCTTGGTGGTATTTGATTAATGACGAGACCAGATGCAAAAAAAAATAATTCATCTGTCTGCTATTTATTGCAAATCTACTGTAGTACTTGATGGTCTTTTCTTTGCAAGAGACATCTTTTATTTTCCACAAAATACTAAAAAATAATTTTAAGTGTAAAATTCAAAGTAAGTTGAATGTCTGATTTTTAAAGAGTGTCTGAAATCTGTGATTCACTTGTTCAATGATAAAGATCTTTGTGTGATGGAGTATAGTATTTTGATGTCTTTATTGCACCTAGAATTTCCTTAAACCCTCTTTTTAAAAAGATAAAATCTTACATTTAGTCTTATTAATTATTTGGAGGAATAATAGGTGTTGCTAGTGTTCTTTCTGAAAACTCCCTAGTGGTACAAAGTATATGAGGAAATGAAATGTTCAATGCATTATTCTTATCAGTATGTGAAATGTGAGAATGATGTTTCAAATAATAATATTTGAAATACAGAGTAAATATGATATGCATGCCATCATCAAATGCCCTAGGAAAATCACAGTCCATATTTTCTACAAACAAGGTCAATCACAGTCAATATCAGAAATGTGTTAGTATGATATGCAGACTTAGGCAGTACAAAGCTAGCACGTTATTAACTTTCTAAATGTTGTTTAAATATTATTTTATATATTTTAAAACTTACACATTTCCATCATATACACAGACTTTGCAAAGAATTGGTAATCATTTGGAAAGCTTGGTACAAATATACACAATCAACAATTCAGATGTCTTGTGAGATTAAAATATTGTATTGTTGATAAAGGTCTCAGATTTTAAATTTGCTGTTTAGAGAATATGAAAAAGAATGCAATCAGTTCTGTGGACAATATTCTATAAGATGTTAGTAAAAAATATACATGTAGTTATAATAATAATAATAATAGGTTTTATTGTTATGGCGTCAGACAGTATCTGTATCATTACATATACAAATGTCTCCATCTGCAGGCGATAAAGGGTATTGAATGCTTAACACTTTCTGATACAGTATATTTCACTTTCAACTGAAACTATTTGGTCTATGAATTATTATTATTATTATTATTATTATTATTATTATTACTACCACCTTTAACCACATTTTAACTATTTCTAATCGTAAAGATAGGTATCTTTCAAGGACTTTAGTCTGATTTATTACAACCAACAGTAAATGTGAACACCTACAGTACCTGCCTGGCTTGTCTGTGCTGATAGCTATTGTATGCCACACTGGGACAATGGACTTCTTTTTATACCAAAGATTTAACCCAAAAATTAAGTAAATTCAATATACAGTATACAGTACTGTAACACTCTACATTGAGAAAAAAATACCAATGTGTATAAAGGCAGACTAATGAAGCGCTTATCAATAGTTTGAAATTAAATGCAGATTTATCTATCAAAGATGCTCTTAAACAGGAGGAGTTTAGATACAGTAAATTTGTTTTTTATAATTTGACATTTTCATAATTTTAACAAAATCCAATATACTGACATCGTTAGCTTATACTGTACATGTATATACTGTAGTCTGTGATATTACTTGTATTAATATTTATCTTCAGACAGCTGCATTCTCCTTCATTTTCTTTAGAAATAGAACGTTTCTTTAATAAATGCCTTGAATTGGAAGGCAATTTTGGATTTCATAGGTGATCCTGGATTTTTTAGTGTTGTAAACAATTGTTACCACCTAAATCACTTTATATGATTTTGTTCAGACTGCATTGCAGTAGCTTATACTAATACATCATTGTATTGGATTGCATTAAAGCAAAAACACACTTTTTATTTTGTAACAGCAACAGCAAAAACAATTATATATTATTTTAATTACCTATTTATTTTTTATTATTCAAACTATTAAGAGAACATACTATAAATAAGAGAAATAATATTAGTAATCCAAGTAAACAAAGTATAAATATAAGTAATTATAATCTTTTAATTTTAAAATACAGTTGTAAATAATTAAAGTTTAAAACATGGAAGAAACTTAATCTCACAATATTTTGAGAGAATCTAAAAAAATAAATGAATCTCCAAGATTTTATTAAATGCAATTAATCACCTATTAATTCAAAAACCTATTGCTGATTGTGCATGTTTGTGACAAGCAGAGATATCTAATTTAAACATTCTTTTTATGAGATAGACTTTGGCAGTGTTCTCAAACTTTGTGAATCTTGGAATCAATGAAAAACTATCACTATTGCAAGTGCTTCATTGTAAGGATACAAATGTTATTTATAAGCCTACAGCTTGATTTTATACTCCTGTGACTTAATCATTGCTTAGTGTAAAAGTCCCTTTTTAACAATATTTGTAGCACTTTGAAAGAATGTGGGCTGAATTCTAGCCATTTCTATAATTATTTTTTTTAATATTTCAAGAAGACAATGATTGCTTTGTGCAGCAGGCACATCATGGGCTCTAATTGAATGTTTTCTGGCAATTTACAGTACCTTTACTTAATTTCATTAATTTAATGCTTGTAGTATGCCAGCCTTTTCTGTAAGGTGTCGCTTTGTGCTATAATTTAGAAAATGCACTTAACCACTCTTTGGAATATTCTGCAGGCAAAGGGCCAGAAACCATTTTTGCGGGGTATAACCTCAACGATAACGAATGGCACACAGTGCGTGTGGTCAGGAGAGGAAAGAGTTTGAAACTAACAGTGGATGAATTACAGCCTGTGGAAGGTATGTCCTTTTTAAATTCCATTTTCTTTTAGGTTTTACTGTGATACTGCCTTTTAAGTAGAGATGCTAGGAAACAGATAAAAACCCATAGGTTAAATCAAGCCTTTGCAGTGTTTTGTGGTTCATCTGATTTCCAAAATATTAGTCTGAATCTTGTTTTGTTGATATGATCCTTTTTGTGCGGTGTCTGCTTTTTGAAAGGTTCGTCTGGGACAGACGGATAGTTACAGAGATCTGGCTTATTTTGGAATGGTATGAAAAAAAGAGCTTGGGACCCTTAACAACTGAGCTACATTGTAATCTGTGGCAATCAAAACTGCTAATACAGAATACTTTACACAGAGCTGCTCTCTTTTTTTCCATTAGTGTACTTTCCCTAGCCTTGTCATTTAAACACAATGCATACTCAGATCAGTAGTTCTGAAGCTCAAAAATATTAATATATTAAGATGTGTTTCTTGGCACAATTCAGTTAAAACCATTGTTTCTAGTCATCAATCCCCGGGTTTACATGAACTTGAAAATGACCTACAGTACACAATAAGGAATCTATGATGTAGCACAGACATAATTTACCACAATACCTTTGTTAAAAGAAGAAAGCGGTTTTAAAGACTAGATCAACAGGAGTGCCAAGAATTGGATGTACAGTACAGTATTAAAGAGTGACATACAAGGTCAAAGAGTGAGACTTTCCCTATAGTGGAGTAGACATTGCGACAGTACACACATTTTTTTCTTTCCTCTAAAGCTGATATTTTAGTTGTATAGGGTAAAGCATTTTCAACTTTTCTTTTTGCTTTACACATATACATGCATAAAAATGCACATTTATAAATAGTATGTTTAAAAATAGTAATGCGGCCAACAGGAAGGTGGAGGGAGCATTTTTATAAAATATAATTTGATTAAACTAAAAAAGTAAGTGTTGCACAATGTAAGTGTAACGTACAAAGAAACAAGTATGTCCTAATTAGGAATGTAAGTAGACCAGAACTGAATTATCACTTGATCTAGGCCTAAACAGTCTGTTTAAAGCTGTATGCTTTTAAGAAATGGCTGTGTGACATCTTTATATCAAATAACTACTACTAAATGGACTGATTGGCCTCTCATGTCTAACCTTGTTCTAACCTCTTCCGTTCTTTGTTTACCTTTGAATTAAAAAAAATATTTGATACCCTCTAGTGGCCAAATGTATAAGAAATTTTCCTTTTTCCTGCATTGATTTTTTAGTCATGCTTGGCTTTGTTTACACAAGTCAAACTAAAATGATATATATTAAAAAGAAACATCATGATTGTTTTTGAATATAACAGTAACAACTTAATTAAATGCATTACGTTCTGCAAAAAATTAAAGCAGCAAGATTGAATTTTACAGGCATAATATTATCAATAATATTTACATTAATGGAATGGCACAGGCCTGGGGTTCAATTCCTGAGGTGCTATCTGCGTGGAGTCTGCCTGTTCCCCCTATGTTTATGTAGGTTTCTTCTGGAAACTCTTGTTTCCTTCCACAATCTAAAGACATACCGGTATTTTAGGTAGGTTAATTGGCTTCTGCGAAAAATCGCCAGGGTGTGAGTGTACAGTATGTGTGTTTATATTTGCGTGTCCTGCAATAAACTGGCATCTCAGCCAGGGTGTATCCTGCCTTGCTTCTTGGGATAGGCCCCGGGCCAACATGACGCTGATTAACATAAGAAGTTATTGAAAGTGATGTGATGATATGATAATGATTAACATTAAATTCTCTCTGTTCCTTTCTTCATTTGAAGGTCTGATGGCAGGAGACCACACGCAGCTGGAGTTCCACAACATAGAAACAGGAATTGTGACCGAGAAGAGGTATATGTCTGTAGTGCCGTCCAACTTCATTGGCCATCTGCAGAGCTTGTCCTTCAATGGCATGGTTTACATCGATCTCTGCAAGAATGGAGACATAGACTACTGTGAGCTCAATGCCATGATCGGGTTCAAAAACATCATAGCCGACCCTGTGACATTCAAGTCCCGGTCAAGCTATGTGGCGCTGTCCACTCTGCAGGCCTACTACACCATGCACCTGTTCTTCCAGTTCAAGACAACTTCATCTGATGGGCTGATACTTTACAACAGTGGAGATGGCAATGACTTCATTGTGGTGGAGCTTGTCAAAGGGTAGGTACAATATCTGACGTCAAGAGCAATTTTCACACATCACAGTCTTTCTCTAAGCAGCGCAGCAGGATTCCAAGACGTAAAACTTTCAGGTGAACATACTGTATAATGTATATTGAGTATAGATTGTTTTTTCACTCATCTGTCTGTATAATAATAATAATAATAATAATAATAATATTTTAAAATTTGTCAGATACACCAGAATGCCATATAAAATGTTCTTAAACACTGGAATGTACAGACTCTTTTATATGAGGAATATCTATTCAATATATCCTCCTTTGTATTTGAATTAATTTCATGAAAGTACAGTCAAAAAGACAAAAAATACACTTATATTTCTGAATATATTTTTCAGAATGCAACAGCTCTGAAATAGTGTGACTCTGTGGATACTGCGAATTCCTAATGCAATGAATAGTTTTGGCCAAGCAATGGACACAGATGTTTTGAATCTCCTGCCAAATCTTTGTAATGAGTGATATACATGATCTAGTGCATACACTGTAAACCTGTTAACCATCTGTTAAATGTAATCGGAATTAATAGAAAACATTGGCGTAAGACATATCAGGATCAAATAGTACCTTTCTGCCTGGATTCTTTCTAACATCCGTTTGTCATAAGATAAGACCATGTTACACAGGTAAAGATAAAGGGTAATGGTTTTATCAACTTAAATTATCCAACACAGCAATTTAAAATATATATTTGTCAAGTCAGCAAAATAATTTCTAAACTCACATGAGTTCTATGTTCCCTTCTACATTTTGTGTTGGAATGTTTATTCCAGGTATCTGCATTATGTATTTGATTTGGGTAATGGTGCTCATCTAATCAAAGGCAACTCTAACAAGCCCTTGAATGACAATCATTGGCACAATGTGATGATATCAAGAGACACAAACAACCTGCACACAGTGAAGATCGACACCAAGGTGACAACTCAGACCACAATGGGAGCCAAGAATCTTGACTTGAAAGGTAAAGGTACCACTATCCAATACACAAACAAATCTTACAGTATAACTGAAAGGTCTACCAAATGCCCCCATGTTGAATAAGACATATCTGGATGTCATCAATTTTAATTATTGCTATTTTCTGCTTTGAGAAAATGCCCTCCTTCAGGTAAATATGCATGAAATATTTGTTTAAAAAAATTATTTGCATTGAAAAGGGTAAGATTAGTTGATACTCCCATCTTTGGCCACTTCCTGATTAGCTTTATACTATGAAGCAACTATTCATAGTATAGAAACTTCCAGTTTCTACAGGAGAGCTGAACATTGTATTGTAATGGAAATATAATAATGTTACAGCTGTAAAAGATTACATTAAAAAGATGTTACTGTTACCACATATTAATGGAAGTAAAAAAAATTAGATTACTAAATGATGTAATACAGCCATGTAATACATTTTTGTTGTTTTTGAACTGGAGCTCCGGCAATTTCCCTGTTCATTACAACTTCTGGCTATTTTGTGTGCTGCCCCAGCAGAGGGCAGTAGAATCACATCACATTTTATACAGCACCAGGATTTGCTTTGGTTTTGGAATCACAATTAATGTACTGGGTTTTTATAAAGACTTCTAATAATTTTAAAAGACTTTTTTTACGAAAACATTTTGTTTTTCAAAAGAATTTGATGAATTAAATGCATAAAAAGAAAAAAATATATAAATATGCTTTGCATATACCTGTACATGTAAGCATATGTGTATACTGTATGTAAATGCTGGAAGCTGAAAATTAGGCAGTTGCAAATAGGACAAAGCAAGATGATTAAAAAAGAAGCATTAATGAAAGGCTCCTTTCTTCCTGCATCTTCCAACAGGGGACTTGTACATTGGTGGGGTTGCCAAAGAGATGTATAAAGACCTGCCTAAGATGGTCTATGCCAAGGAGGGTTTCCAGGGCTGCCTGGCATCTGTGGATCTGAATGGCCGGCTCCCTGACCTGCTGTCCGATGCTCTGTCCTGCGTGGGGCAGATCGAGAGGGGATGCGAAGGTACAGAATTCCTTAGACTTTGCACATGTTGCATTGACAGAATGTCAGAAGCCCCAGAATACTGGATTCAGACAAGGACAGCACTTCAGTGCTCTGCTTCCTGCATGAACTTTAATACTGTAGCTTTACTCCTCATCTGTTTTACATGGCACACTCTTTAAAAAGTTCTTCAATTTCTGTAACTAGTATGTCTCCAGATTCTGTCTGTGGGAATTGTAAGTGTTTTCAAACAAGGAAGAAAGAATATCCCAGTCAAAGGCAGCAGGGTACAGAGATAAAGTGGGGCTTGAAAAAATTGAATGCATATTATCTCTCATCACCACTAAGCTACAGTATTAAATCCAATTAAGTCTTAACTTCTCAACTTAAGTCCACTTCTGTAATAAGATTTTGTATTAAAAATGCACAATGATATATTATTCAGGTTTATTTCATATTGTAATAACAATCCTTGTTGGACTGTTACAATTTTTTTTAAATCTGATGTACCATTCACAACATAAAACGGACCATAGTCCTATTCTGTTAGAAACATATATGGATAGATTGTTGTTATAGTAACTACTACAGTTTAGAAAGTATTTAGTTGTGTCTTTGTTCTAAAACTGGTCATTAATATGACCTTAACAATTTATCAAAAGCATTTATATTAATTCCCCAACTCAAACATCAGTAAGGTTACTCTTTTAAAATATAGTAAAAATGTTTAGTCCAAAAAAAGCTCAAGATGAAATTGTCCTAAGAGAATTCTTACACTTTTATTTGACCTGACTATAAAAATTCTGTCTCAGAGCAGTTACAGAGTCTCTGTCGATTCTGTCTATAGCATAATATAAGGTCCTGATTCACATTCAGGATGACATGAAAGAGACAGAGAAAGGTTGATATAAGTAGTACTCCAGCTGCCTAATACTGTATGTCCTTTAGCAGGGATGGTGAAGCTTTTTTTAGCTATAGTGCACAAAGTCAGGTTTTTATATAAAATTGCTGTGTATATATATCACTAAGTGCCCAGGGGCTAACAGTAACTTTTTCAAGCAATATTTCCATCCTTTTTATTGATTTTGTAAAACAAGAAAGAAATGCGTCAAAATGCAAAATAATCAAGAACATTGCATTAGCAGGTATGAACAGTCAATCTTAATTAGATAAGATCCAATGGTGTCTCAAAGCAACACAACATAGAAAAAGAATAACAGCACTTATGACAGTACAATATGGTTTGATTGTATTGCTAAGCTACTGGAAAATTGATAAATCATGTCTCAGTGCACATTAATTTTGAAAACCCAAATGCTTAACTAAAAGTGTTCATTAAAAGAAACAATCACAGTGTTATTGTTACTGCAATCATAAAATTCATCAAAGTAGTCCACTCATTTGTGGGACTCTGACTGTAACTCTAATTCATTGTTTATATAATTGTTTATAATTGTTTTTTTTTTTGTTTGTTTGTTTGTTCTGTAATGATCAGTGGCAGCCATTATTGGTTTGTCTTCGTTTTAGTAAATAAATCTGATTTTTCAGCAATTAAAGTAACTTCTTAGTAGAAAGCCCCCTAAGTTAAAGACTATGCATAATATTGCTTTTCATAGCAAAGGATTACTGTGCTATCCAAGAACTTTGAAACAAAGTTGCATTTACAATGTACAGTACTGTACATATTAGAGTCCTATTTCATTTCAGGCTCGTGTTATTTTGAGAATTTACAACCAGGGTGCATCTTTTATTTCATTATGTTCACTGCAAAAAAGCACTTGCTACCTGTGATACCTTTGAAAATATCTTGTTGTTTGATTGTACGAGCTGATTCATATGAAAAGTGATACCCTTATTCAGAAGAAATATACACTGGAGGCACTTTGATTAAGCAATTGTGTGTGGTAACGCAGGGCTCCCCATTCCAACTTTTTTATATTGGAATGTGAAACATGGACACTTGTTTTGCACAGAAAATAGCAGTTTGACATAATGCTGGAATCGTATTAGAATCTACAATAAAACCTACAAAAGCATTAGGATAATGTTCTACTCACTTATTCATAGCTGCCCACAATTGCATGTGACCCTTCATGGGCAATTATACAGTTTTAATCTCTTTCTAGTCCCAGGGTGCCTGGGATAAATAAAACAGCTCAGCAGCAAAAACTGCCAACCACGAACGAAGGGAGCATATAATAAGTGCTATACTGAGCACTGCTAGTTTCCATGGAGTCAGGGCCATTTTTGCAAATCAAACTGACTGGCTTTCTAAAAAAATCACTCAGGTCTTATAGGGGTAGGGCAAAAAAAAACAGTGGATATGCTCAAGGTGGGATGTATCCAGGATGTATTCCTGTTGTAATACCCATGTTCTTACAAACACCACCAAGAGATCTTCAATGACCAAGTAGGTAGGACTTTAAAGGACATACAGTATGAAGGACATCACCTTCTTCTGTATAGTCTCCTCTGTCTCCATCCTGCAACATTGCTTTGGAAATCCCGTATCAAGGGGAAGAATGTGATCTACTTGTATGCCATCACCACATACTGTACATCATGCTCCATTACCATTCAAATTTATAAATATACATATTTACATTTTACCTATTTTACTTTTTGAACAGTCTACTACAGAGTATGTGTCAGAGTTACTGTCAGTTGAATTCCATTAATGCAGTAACTTGTGTTCCTGTAACAAAACTATTTCTGAAGCAGGAGAGTGTTATGCTGCCATTGCTTCAAGCATTGGCTGCCTCTCATTAACCTGGTTCTTTCTGTTTTTCAGTCAATTTAGTAATGGAGTAACAACAGTGATAGAACTATCATCTATATACATTTTTACATTATGTCTGCCCATCAGCAAAGCATGTTTGTATGTACAGTATGATCAGGCATAGACATAACATTGCTGTGGCTAAATGGTAAGATTTTCTTGGTAAAAGGAGACTTCACCTTTTTTGCGGTCTCAAGTTAGCAAGAAAACCTCTTCGATGAAGAACAGCATTGTTGTGTATGGCTGCCATACATAAGCTTTTTACATTTAGATTTGGCCTTTTTTGTCTGTGTTTATTTAGTCATATTATTTATTTTATTATTTATTCTGTTAAACTAATAAAATATTAATTTAAGCTTGCTGTGTGCATTCAAAACTACTTAAATAATATTGCTGATGTATGCATGGAATTTCATATTGTTTGCATCACAATAAACATTTATTTTTATTGTCATGAACTTTTTGTTCATTTGTATACATTTCATTTTATTAACGGTGTCACTCTCCCATTCTTTTTATGTCTGTGGCTCTCATAATCCCCTCTGCGCTGTGATTAATGTCAGTGTTCACTGGTTATTTTGTCTTTTCCTATCTTTGTTATCCTCCTCAGTCTGCTTCTTGATTTTAATGTACTATTCGTGCTTGCATTGAAGAAAAAATTAAAGTAGCTCAAACTGAAATTTAGGCAGAATGCCATTTCAGTTCCAGACAACAGTGCCTATACAAAAAAAAATTAAATTTAAAATAACATTTTATTTCTAATTTTATTTTTCTTAATGTTAAATTACCCTGACCTTTCAGCTATAAGGACTTCATTCTGTGCCCCTCATTCTCCATTGAATTTAGTCAGGTTATGAATACATACAGTATTGTCAGTAACAGATTGGATTTATTCTCCAATTAGGAACTAAGTAAGTGGACACCTTTCACAATAATTCTGCTCCAGTCTACAGGGCATGAAATAACACAGGCTATTTAGACTGTGAGCAGAGAGGCCTTCTCTGGCTCCAGTCCAGACACAACACTGCAGCAGAATCACAGTTTTTATTAATTTCCAGACAATAATACTTCCTTGTGCTGTGCTGTTCATATTATTATTACTGGCAATGGAGCTGTATGCACATATTGAGAGTAATGACAAAACAGGATGTGCAATTAACAACTTGACTGCAATTACAGAGATTTCTCAAGAGATGCAGAGGAAGAACAGCAGAGTCCAGACTGTGAAAAATGGCTCACTTCTGCATTAATAATGCATTAGATAGCATATTTTTTCTTCTTATTAAAAAGATTCTTCATCAGATTTAACTTATCACTTATGTATAAGCACTGTACAGTATATCACAAACACATCTCAGAGTTTTAGTGCTCAAGATTTCTGTGCATAAATAATTGGAAGGTAATACAGTAGAACATAACTATGTCTAGTGGCACACTTTATTTTTTTCTGTTTCCAACTCTCAGAAGCACACCCTGTAAACATCAACTTTTGTCAATTACTTGAGGTGTGGTGAGAAAATGGTTTGCTTCTGTGAAGAAAACATTACTACTGGAAGTGCACTGTGGGTGAAATCCCCAGTGCTGGTCTCTGAGACAGGCAAATTATTCACTTGACTAATGTTCCACATTCCATCAGTTTGAATTAACAAAATTCATGGGATGAGCTCCTAGAACGTGCATGGTCTGACCAATTAATGAGCCAGTCACTTCAGTGAGTAGTTATCAATCTGACCAATATGCTTTCATTTCATTCTTTCAATTCTCAATAGGAAGAGGATTAATTCATTTTTATTGTACTGTACATCACCCAAAACAGGATCAGTCCTCCAGAAAGAAGTGAACTTTTCTTAATAAGTCAATACACAATTTCATGTAGCCTCATGTGAATATCATCATTTCAAAACATGACAAGAAAGTCTTAAACAGAAAAAAGAAGGATTTGATGCGTAGTTAATTAATATAAATTTCAGTATTTTAAGATGTTTGATTTGATAGTGCTGTCATGTTATGTATTGGGGGCTATTCCATACTGTACATGGGGGTACATGGGTAGTAGGTAGATATTCTGAGAAATATAACTGGAAAAAGTGAACTGCTAAATATAACAACTAATCTCATAGTTCTAAAGCAGTGTTGTTCTATTTAATCTTTCATGTAATAATTTATTTCGAGGTACTATTTCAAGTGTAATAACAGGCCTATGAAAGCTAATGCTATGAAGGATATATTTAAAAATCTTTCTAATGGGTATGTGGGGCTGTGGGGCTGTGATACTGCTAAAACGTTTAATTTACATTCATCACATCACATCAGCTATGTTATAATTTCAGTAATTACTGTTTAGGCCTTGCTTGCACAAAGGTTATGGCTACTGTAAAATTATTTGCCTTATGCAGCAGTCTCTTCGTTCTTTCAGCAGCATGTCTGTCTCCTATCTCTAGTTTATTATGACCGCTAACATTTCAATGCTTACTAACATTTGATATATTTTGCTTTTCTTTTATTTTGCTGACAAAAGTTGCATTGATGAAAGCTGACTTGCAAGGTAGATAGCTTTGTTTGTTCAAACCAAGTCTGAAACCCTTAACATACGACCCCCTTGAAAAAAAAAGTTATTTTTTATACTATATGTATTCGGTTTTACCATAGTAAATACAAGTAAAGGCTCTCTTCAGTTCTTGTATTGATTTCTATGGGGTTTTCAGTCTTGAACTTCCTTGTGTAGTAGTCACCTTAGTCTTTGGTTTTTGTTTCCCTGATCCTTCACGTTTGTCATATGAAAGCATGCTGTTTATTCACGCTTCCCTTAATCAATAATTAAATTGTGGTGATCACCACTGCATGCATTATAGAACATGATTTGAAAAGCTTCTTGTCAAGCCAAAATAAAAATCTTCTAGATGGGGGTCTTAATTTTATTTAATTGCTATTTGCTGCATTGACAATCTAGATGATTTTTATCAATTGTGATTTAATTTTGTGTAGATGAATTTAATTTGATGATGATTGCAATATATTAGAATGAGCTTGCATCTTTCTAGGCAATAATAAATAACTGTTAAGTAGGTATTGTTTGGACAAATCAGACATGATAAGCAATTGGCTTCAGCTTTTTTTCATTATTTATACAGTAATACCTGAACAACAGGGAGGCATTTGTATGAAAGTTTACAAGTCAAAATAGTAACAGATCTTTTATTAATCCTCACAAAATATTAGAAAAGTATTACTTGTGAGCAATCCTCAGTTTATTTCCTAGGATTTTCTATCAATACTGTATGTACTGTAATGTAATGTTTTATAGTCCCAAAGTGACATTTTAACATGTCTCCTTTCAGTATACAGTAACCTATTTTTAATACTCTTGAAGCACCTCTATAAACTATTCAGAAACCAATTCTCTTTTATGACACCAAAATTACTTTAACAGCGCTTTTCTTTTCTCTTCTCTTTTTTGGGATAATTTGTTTTTTGCCTTAGGGCACGAAGCTTGAAATTACTGAAACTTGTTTTATGTGTTAGAAATTCTGCCAGCTGTAGCTCTTTTCATAAAAGCAGGTTTTATTTTTAAAACTATAATAAATGCCATACTAAAATTGTTACGGTGTCCATGTTACTCAGGGATAGAATATTCTAACAATAAAACTTAAGCACTATTAAAATATGAATGTTTTGTCATCATAATAATAACCAGCAATAAAAATATCTTCCTAATTTGTTGCCTATCAGTGTCTATAAGAGAGGTCTGTGGAGGAGATAAATATAAAAAATGTTTTCATAAATGGTTAATGACTTCTAATCAAGTTAAGGTATGTATTAGTCTTAAATAATTTAATTTATGTAGCATAGATTGGTGAAATCATAAGGTGTTATAGCAGCATAATTACGAATTCATGTCATCAGTGCTTTGTCTGCAATCTCTAAAATTAGGTATTACTGTTACAGAGGAATATGAGTTGCTTGGTTAGTTTCCTCACAGGAGGAAATCTATCCATAACAAATCAAACTAATAAAGCTAATATTTAAATATAATAATCGCCTAACCTTGATGCATAAACCTCAGACTAACCTCCATGCTAACCAGTTCCCATTTCACTCATATTCACCCATTAACGCCTGGCAGAAGGACATATTAACTGAGACATGGACTTCTGACCTGTTAGCAATGATACAGACTTGCAAATGAGTGGTATCACTTGTTCATGCATACTTCAGTCTGTTCAAAGGGAGCTCTACAGGGCACTTGATTGTAATGCAATTCCAAACGTTGGTCTGTTATGGTCAGTCTGACTGCAGAGGGAGACTAGTTTTTGTGTGTCAGTTTGCCCAGCAGCCTTTCCTTATTATATTCTATTATATAATTATGCTATATAATTATTATATTTCCTTAATTATTATATTCTTTTGGATTCCACGTACTTGTTCTCTCATAGTTTCCTGCAGTAACTTTTTCCATGTACAGATCCATTAAGGCAGATTAAATACTGTCCATAAACATATTACATTTAATGGTAATAAAAATAATAGTTGAAGAGTATAGTATTACAGAGGTATGGTATTTAGAACAAAATTAAACATTTTCATAAAATGCTGTGCAAATTACAAATGCTCTGTACCAACTATAAACTTTGTTGATTATATAAAGAGAGAGGGCCCCGGCTAACTCCAGGTCCTCCACGAAGGAGGTGGGGTACAAGGCTAACAATCCTGTCCCGTAAAAAACTAATGTTACGGGAACACCAACTTGATGCTGCTGCCACTACGTGCCGGAAGGCATAACAGGCAAACCTCTATCCATATAATGAGAAGTTTATAGATGTATTTGTTGTTTATAATAAATTCCTGAAGTGTTAATGATTCTTTCAGAATGTTTTAATGTAAAAATCTAATTTTCATCTGGATTCTAAAGAAAACATGGCAGATGGCATTTAATCTTTATTTTTCTCATGAACAAGCACAACTGAAGTACACAACAAGCACAGGAGAGTGAAAAGCAGACTTCTTCACCTGTGTCACTTAAACACTGAAAAACAACAGTAGTGTGAGATACACAGTACATTTTGAGTATTAGATCACTGCTCTGCTGTGTTGTGAATGACATTTCTTCCAGGACAAGCAGAGATCGTATTTGCCATGTTTGCTCCTCAGTGTTTGACTGTGAACATTCCTTGACAGGTCATTGTGGAAAAAAATGAAATCTTTTAATTTTGTATTGGATTTTAACATGCCACTAATAAAAGCACAATCTTTTCCAAACACAATTTGAATTTGACAGTAAATACCTGAGGACATCTCTTCTGCCTGTGGTTCAGTTTAGAGAGAAGGCGATTCTTACTGATGCTACATCCTCCTGAGCAATACTGTTAACATCTAAGTTGTCACAGTATTGTGATTAAGTGTTTGACCTCAAGGATGACAGTTCTTTAATTGCTTCTCTTTAGGGTCACAGGTAATCTGCAGATGATTGTTTATGCCTAGAAGAATCTCCAGAATGATTGGAACTGTTGTGAAAGCCAAGGATACAATATTGGAAAGTCTCATGTAACTTTCATGCAATTGGTTATAATAAATAATACAATTTAAAGAGAGCTGCAGGTGTCAGTGGCACAATTGCCAAGTCATGACAGATTCTGAGTCACAAGGAGAAGTCAAGAACAGTCTTAAAGACATAGTTAGACCATTACACTTAGTCATACCTGGAATGCCTTTCAACTGTAAAATAGATGTATTTTTTTAAAATACTCAAATAATATCTATTGAAATGTTAATGATTTCAAGTAAATGATGCCTATCTCATTAGCTTTATTAACTTCTGCTGCATTAGTTTATTAGAAGCTTTCTGAAAGAAATGTCTAATGAATATAAGGAATACTGTAGAGCAATCAGATGGCAAAGCAAACACCCTTCTGTCCACTGGCTAATGTCTTACTCTTTTTGCAGTTAAATGCATTAGTACACTGTTTCAAATGACTCGTATTAAAACTGGTGTGCTGCACAGACTGAAGGAGCTAATCATGTGAATTTTGACTCGTGTAGTGAGTCCTAATTTTCCAATTGTACATCTGGGAGCATATGCCAGCCCTATGGGTTCTCTGCTCTCCAGCAGTCTTGTAGGGCACTGTGCCTGGTGTGCAGCTGCTGGGGACTGGGGGAGGTTACAGTAATGTCTGCACATAAAAGAAACACTTCACTTTCTTTATCTAGTTGGCCATGTAAAGATCCTTCCCATGAGAAAGGGGCTTTATGTCTTACAGTATACGGTATGAATACCCCAAATCCCCACTTGAATTATAAAAGTGAAGTGAAGCCTCACTTAAGCAATCACATCAGTAGCAGCAGGAGGAATTAATTTAATCCTACAAACTTCTAATTTTCCATGGGGAATCCCCTCATATCATCTTATCTTGCCATCTGGCTTGTTGTGATGTAGTGAGTTACTTTACAATTTCCTCCTCTCAGAAGAGTCTTCTAATCTTTTTGCTTCTTGACAATATAGCTGAGGAGCAGAGAACAGAATTTTGGCTGCTTGACATGCAATAGACTAACAAATATAAGGAGATATGGAATGTCTCTATCATATAGTTTTAAAAAGTTCACTTTGCTTTGCAGTCTTTGCTGATTTATTAGTAATAATAACTAATAACTTAGTACTACGGTTATTGGCTGCCACTTCTAGTCAAAGACGACTGGATTTCAAATCACCCAGTTATAAAAACGGACACATAGCTGAATAGGCTGCAGCTGAGATGTGGTGGTGTAACAATACAGGAAGTAAAACAACAAAAATGTGAAAAATAAAGCAAATTCAAGGTTTTACTGAAGGACCTCCTACGTAAATTCCAAACTGATGGATCCTAAGGTGGTGCCTGGAAGGTGACCAGAGTTATTGAAGCTTCTCCTCCCCATATATCATAAACAATTGAATGAAGAAGGAGGGTGCTGACTACTCGGCCAACTTCTATAGCATACTTCACTCTGTATGAGGTATCTGAGTGATATGTGTGACTGAATAGATAATGGGGTTGCCTCTACATAAAAGTACATATTTGGGAACTCCAGTTATGCTTTTAAATTTTCCCCATGGGTAGAGCAAAACAGCTTAGCAAGCCTCTCATATTTTACCTGAGATTTATGAGCGCTGACAGCAGCCTGTTTTAGCTATTGGTGCTGTATTTTCATATGTGAAAATAATGGTGGAGAACTGAAGTCTGAGGCATTCATTGGAAGGATATCAAAATATATTTTTCCCATATACCGTAAGTATATTATACATAGGTAGTACTTGTTTGTATATATATATACAGTTGACAAATTCAGTTTCATATGAATTTTATTTCATTTTAGCCTTCCATTTTTAGCCAATATTATCAGATGAATTCGTGTATTATATGATTTTAAAAGCTGAAGCCAATAATTGTTTTGATTTGTTTGAGCTGTCTGGACAATGCTTGACATAACACTTGAAAGCTAAATGTAACGTGATTTTTTTTATTGTATTTGCAGTCTGTTTCCCTGATTTCTTTTCATATCCTAGTTAGAATCAATGGTGGTAGTTGTTGGAGCAAGTACCAAATTATACTAATAATTATTACTGTTAATAAGATGTCTTTAGAGTAAAAGTTTAGATTTATGAAAACGTCAAGAATATAATAGATTAAGAAACAAAAAAATCACATAGACACATGAACGCAATGACTGATGAATCCTTCATAGAGATGTTTGCCTTAAGCATGTGCTTGATAAATTTAGAGCACAGGACCATCATTCTCAGTAAACAAAGCTGTGACAATTTAAACAACTGGCATATCATTAATTTTATATTCATATTTCTAAGAATGCAAATTAGATTTACTTTCAAAACTAGTTTGAGGGTGCATTAGTATTGGGGGAAAAAAAACGGTAGCCCCAGAGTGGCTATTAGTGGTCAGTATACTGTAGGCTCTTCATCTCAGAGGATACAATTATTCCTCTTTTTCTATTACCTGTTGAACCTGTGGCTGACCTGAGGTGTCTCCTCCGGACGGGTGTCTCTCCGTCATGTGAGAGAGGGTCTTCAGCCAGGCCATGGGAGTGACAGTACCTGCTCTTTTGTCCTTGATTCAGGACCTAGCACCACCTGCCAGGAGGACTCCTGTGCCAACCAGGGAGTGTGTCTACAACAGTGGGAGGGCTTCAGCTGTGACTGCAGTATGACTTCCTTTGGAGGTCCCCTGTGCAATGACCGTGAGTACAACACTGATTCCTCTTCTCCTCCCGCACTGTACATTCTGGTGCTTAATGTTGGTAGAGATATTATGAGTGTGTACTGAATGATAGTTGCAAGTAACAAGGTGATAGGGAGTACATACTGTATGTATATACTGTACAAAATTCATTTTCTTATTGGACAGTCTTCATAATTGTCATTTAGTCATAACTGTAACTAGTATTTTTTACAGTGAAAATATTATATTGTAGTGAAAGAAAGGTTAGACTATTTATAATAATGTTGCTTTATTAGCCCTATACAATTTCTTGCATTAGGAATTTGTCTATTCACATACCCCAGCTTACTCTCCATGAGACACAGACAGGGACAGAAGCTTGGGGTGAGAGTGCAGGGTTAGCCATTGTACAGCGTCCCTGGAGCAGCTGGGGTTAAAGGCCTTGCTCAGGAGCCCAACAGAGTAGGACTGTTCTGCCAGCTGCGGGATTTGAACCGGCAACCTTCTAGTGACAGGCACAGATCCTTAGCCACAGAACCATTGCTCCACCCAAAATGTTTTTTAGTTTTTACTGTATGTATATATACTGTACTTTACATATACAGTAGTTAAAACAGTATCTAATTGGAAAATCACTGTACAAAAGTTGGCCTAGTAGTGACCAAAGCTGGTTTAGATCATATTTGAGCATGTAATTCATATTGACTGATTAGTAATCAGTTGACTTCTTTTGAAACGTTAAGAGAACATGTCGTCTCCCAATTACTTTTCCAGCTTTTAAAACTTTTTATTTTGTTGGCTATCCATTCAGTGCTGTACATTTCTACCAGTGCAGTAACTCTATTACATCAATAAAATATGGCAAAAGAAATCTAGAAGCAAAAACCAATCTAAAAAAAACAAAATATATGTTTTTATTATGCAAAATCCATTAATAAAGGGGAGATATTAAATAAAACCTATTTCTCTGAAGTATTGTTTTGAACGTGAGATTTGAGATGCAGAGCCTACTGAATATTCTCACACCTTTCTGCAACATTGAAAGGTAGGTGTATGTGCGTAAATGCTGTTAAGTGTTTGAATTTTCAAAATTCTATCTCCTAATACATTGTTTCTTAATTGTATCTTTAAATCCATTGTTTTGTTTTTTTAAGTTATATCTACATGTCCTTTGTATTCAACTTTTACGTTTTTTTCCAGAAGTAATCTAATGGCACATTTATGACACTGTGTCAATAGTCTAAGGGTTACTTTTACCAAATCGTTCATGTACAGGGAGTAATTAGCAATTTGTACTACATTTCCTTTGGTTTCAGTATCACTACTAGACATTTTTGATTGACACTGTTGGAGAGGGGGAAGAAAATTTGACTGAATCGTAAAGCTTTTGTCTTTGAAACCTGGGGAAACTCAGGCTCCGGCACTATTTTGGGTGATAAGGTTAAGCTTTCTCTTTCAATGACAGATCTATTCCTGGCTCGTTCATAACAGTACGGTGACACTCGGTTCACAAATACATTTAAAAAAACAAAAGCAGAATTTTTGTGGAAAATCATGCAGAAAAACATTTTAGTGTGAACTTACCCCCCTAGTTTCTACATTAATTTAAACCTGTAAGTGTCTGCTTCTGTTCAGAAATATAATGTAAGCCCTTTCAGAATCTAGTGAGACTAATATGGAAACAACATTGTACTCCAGTAGATTTGAACTTTGTGTCTAAAAATCTTTCTGAAATGTCTATCTGATGTGATATGGATGAATTGTGTTTGTAGTAAAGCTTTACATCTCTCCCTGTAGCACATTTCTGTTGCAGTTTTAAGGTAATAAAGAAATGCATCTAGCCATTTTTTCTGAAATTCATGAGCTAGGAACTCCAATTCAGGTTGTGACCAGTCCATACTGTATACTGTATAATGGCTGTAGAGCCATTGTTTCTGATATTTTATTCCTTACTTATCCAGTATGCTTGACCTTTATTTGATTCTTTGTTATTTTTACAATTTAGACTCCCTCTATAATGAACTGTAAAATGAAACAAAAAATTGCAAATTGTTTAAACTTTTGTGAGACTTTGCATGTCATGATAGCAAACAATTACTTTAAAGTATTGAAAGAGATCTAAAGTCAATATACTGTATAACCTTTTAACAACACTTTGGGGAAAAATAGTTAATTGTGCTATAGTAATTTGCCACAAGAGGCCGCAAAAGAGGTATCTTGCTTGTGTTTTGAAGAGATTGTAGCTCTGGAAGGCATGGTGCAGTTAATACCTCTAAGCTTTTGGGTGTGGGCTTGGATTCTGGACCGGTCATTACAGCCTATGTAGTTTTTGCACAAGCCTGTGCTTGTGTGGCTTATTCCAGTTTTTTCGTACATGCAAAAGACATGCAAACTAGGTTAACTAGTGTCTCTCTATTTTCCCTGTGTGCTGATGTGTTTGCCCTGCCATGGACTGCCAGTCCCTTTAAGAGTGTATTCCCACCTTGCAATCTGTGTCTGACGCATTAGGCCCTGGCTTGCCATGACCCTCATAAGGATGTATTGTAGCAGCTGTGGATAATGAATGTGTCTTCTTCTTCATCTTCCTTCCCTTCTCAGTGTTAGACTCCCGAAATAATTTATGAGTTGTCATGGAAACTAACATAACTTTATCCACACTGTGTGATGCTAAATTAATATACTGTAGGTTAACAGTCCATTTGAGTCTATAGTCGAATAGTAAAGGGATTGTGACACTGGTGCTCGTTAATCAATAAAATGTACACCCCAGAATATTTACAGTGCACATTCAGAAAAGCCATGTAATTGGAAAATTGGAAATTTTAGATAGGCACTTAGATAAACATCAAATACTGAAGATAAATGATATTCAACCCCCTTTTGATAACTCTCTTCATTACTCCTCTTTTACTAGTTCAAAACCTTTTCTTAAAGAGCATCAATGAATTTCTCAATAAAAGCCTTAGCTTTATAATTGGAAATTTGGCCCATTGGAAGCATTCTGAGCATTGTGCACAGGGAAAAGAACAGTTAATGAAATGCAATTGTTTTTTGTTAATATGTCTTAGTGTTTTGGACTTGTTGAAATGTTTAAAATTTTATGTATCATGCAAATGAATACTGAGAAAAGAAGATCATTATTTCTATTCTGCTGTGTTTGAATATATTGGAACTTGTAAAAGAACAAATTGCTGAACTAGAAAACCTGAAGTGGGCACTCTGTGGAGATGACACAAAGGCGATGGGAAACCATAAATGTTAATATATTCGGAGCTGTGTGTCTGTGAGCAAGATAAGACGACTTCTTTGTTACCAGAAAACACATTAATAGTCTTCAATTCAAACACCAGATCCTCTCCTGATCTGGGATAAGGGAAAAAGCATAATTGTTTAAAGAATTGTGAACTTTTAGAAATGCACCCTGACCTCCACTTTGAAACAATTTTTTTAGGATTTCTGTTGCATAAGAATCAAGAGACATTTATTCAAGTTAGGAGAAAATGTAACATCAAGTGTGCTTTTTGTGAAATTTTAAATTCAACCTCCCAGTGAACCAGGTAATGGTCATAAAGTAGAAGAAATATCATAAGTCAGCCTTACTTTGCTTTATAAATATGCATGAAGCTTAACCTGACTCCAAGGGTAAAAATGTCATTTTTCATTAGTCTGCTTAAGTCAAAGTGGGTGTTGTAGTAGCTAAAGGAAAAGTATCATGATAATGTGCAATAAACACATTATTAACAATGTCTGGAAAATGTCTGAAAAATGATTAATTTACTTGAAGGTGTAATAAGTTGAACGCAGGCAAGAACACTGGCAAAATCATTTGAATTCAAGCATGATTGCTTTTTTTAGAAAACAATGACAATAGAAAATCTGTAACCTTCAGTTTAGGAACATGAAAGAAATATTTCTAACCTCAGATTTCAAGAGTATTTTATGTCTTTTATATGATTTACAAACCCTTCTTTAGAGCACTTCAAATAGCAATCAGCTATCACAACATATGTTATAAACATAAGGTACAGTAACATAAGAGATATATGCACATTTCAAATTGTAATCTCAGATCCTTGTTTTTTGTTGTCGCTTTTAATCCTTAATGAATTATTGGTTATCTTTAACCCCGAAAGATGCCAGGATCCTTCATTTATTCTACGGCATTGTTCTAAATTTACCAGACAGACGTACTGTACTCTAGCTATGTATAGCAAAAGGCAGAGCATGGCTGACAACTATTAACCTGATTACATCATTATTCAGTTGCTTATATAGTAGATGACAACCTGTCTGATTAATGTACCAGTTTCACTTTCTACAGTATACAGTATGTTGTGTATGCATGAGACCTGTAAACCTAATTTTAAATTTTGCGACCTTTGACTCCAAATGTTCTTTTGTCTCAGTGAAATATAGCTTTGAAATGGTCCAATAACTGAATAAAATATCCATAAGCCATGTGTTATTCTAGCAGTGATATGCTCTAAGATACCAGGTCAGTTTTCTATGTTATATTTCAACAGTACCACTGAGATTACCTTCTAGAAAATGGTACATATAAATAAAGCACTTGGGATGAACAGCTACAAGCACCAAGCTGACATTAGGTAATAAATAGTGCTTTTGTTACTGAGACCTCAATCTAAACAAAATATGTTACTTTAGGGATCACTGCCTGGCGCTACCTTAATCGAATGTTTATTACTCTTGTGGCAAATGATTCTATTGCCTGTGATATTTTATTAAATGATTTCCCCTGGAGGCTAAATTACATCTCTGAAAGTTAATAGCGATTAGCAGTTATGGTGGATTTGCTTGTGCATGTGTGTGAGTTTTGAAAAACAGATCTCAAAATAAGAATTGCACTTAGTTCTAATGGAATTTACAGTGTAGTCATCACTGCTGATGCGTCACGTTAATATAGGTTACATTTTTTCATTTATTGGTGTTTTATAAAGAAATAATGCATTACTTTTCAATATGTGCAACCAACAATAAATACAGCCAACAACATCAGCC